CTTAGCTTCCTGCTCTTGCAAAACCCTTGCCAGCCACAGCAGCTCCATGGACATCAGATGAGCATGAGGGAAGTCTTGGAGGGCCAGGCCCCCCCCCGGCCCCGATCGTTCAGGGTTTTACAAACCCATAAGAGCAGCCAATCTTGAAGGCTTCCCACTGACTTCAGTTAAAAAGGCCTCCCCTTTTTATAGGGGAGGACTTTTTGGATATGCTTTGGCACGGTGCATATCCTTCAGCAAGTCCACACCTCCGTTGTTATATCTATGAAGGCTCCTGCTTCAGAGCCCAATCGTTCAAAATACTGCTCCTGCCCATGAAAATGAGATGCTAATATTGGCTGATGGAGCCCCATTCATGTGGCTAGCTGCTCTTCCAGCCTCATCTTAGATATTAGGAAGAATTTTCTCACGAGGAGGGTTGTAAAGCACTGAAACAGGTTACTCAGAGAGGTGGTGGACTCTCCATCCTTGGGGGGTTTCAAAATGCAGCTAGTCAAAGCTTTGGCTGGGATGATGTATTTGGGGCTGGTCCTGCTTGGAGCAGAGGGGTGGACTAGATGTGACCTCCTGAGGTCCTTTCCAACCTGCATTTTCTATGATTGCCTGATAATCCACAGCTGGAACGTGCTGCCCAACTTCTCTGCGAGGGGACCTCCACACCTCCTGCTATTCCAGATGTGCACGTTCACTGCACCTTCGCCTGATTAGCAGCTCCTCCTGCTGCTCCAGGAATGGGAACTCAGCCTGGTTGGGCCAAAACACCTCAATCCCAACCTACGGCCCCGGTTCCTACTTCAGGTCCGGGCCTGTCTGCTTGGCTTTATGACACTGAGACATGCGCACTTGTGTCTGGAGCTAGGATCCCTCATGCAATGACCCCCGGGGGGTTGAGGTCTTTGCATGAGGTTCAGGTCATTGCATGAGCTCCCTGTGTCACAATGTCTCTCTTAAATGGCTGTTAGTCATCTCCGAAGCCTGGCTCCTGCCCGGACGTAGGAACTGGATCCAGCATTTCTGCAAAGACACAGCAGTCACCCTGGGAACGCCGGGACTACCCCGTGCTGCGGACCGGCATGCATTTCAGTGCGTCTCGAGGGCTGCACAGATTCTGCCGTGACACCGCGACCTCAGGACACCTGCTCAGCAATGTCCTGCAGCTACATGCATACTTGCTTGACAGGCGGCAGCAACATCTGCGCCTGCCCGAGGGACGCTGTACAGAGGCCGCACCTCACCGGGCACAGCATGCAGAGAGGTCGAGGTGGGTCCAGCCTTCACTTGATGGGACCTGCTTAAAAAAATGACATTTTTGCCTGAAACAGGGTCTACCCATGGGATGGGGGATCTCAAAGATGTTGCTGCAGGGCATGAGAGATGTGGGTGTAAATCCCAGGTTTGCCACAGACTTGGCGAGTCACGTTGTCTCTGTATGCTGCATATAGGGAGAATAATAGTATTTCATTTCTCCAGCTCTCTGAATTTTCCATGTGGGGAGACACTGTCTCCTCCCATGTGTACATGCCACATGCAGCACATGAAGCTCACTTTGGCCTTCTCACCACGCTACAATGCAAAGAGTTAGGACCGCTATACAACAATTATTAGAAATAGCACCAGAGATCACTGTAACTAGAAGGGGAAAGGATTGCTGGACTTGGTGCATGTGCTAGTGCTTTGGATGGAGTCAGTGCCACGGTTTGCTTGTCACTTGCTCGAATTGATGGAAATGTTGGGGTTTTAAGGGGGGCGGGGGGGGTTTTGTTGGGTCAAATTTTTTCTTTGCATGAAAATGTCCAATTTGTTCTTCCCTAAGCAAATATTTTTGGCATATTTATAAGGAATGAGAAATAAATAAGGAAAACAAGGCAAGGGGGTTTCATCCACTTCCATCAGTTAGTTCTTCTCATTCATGAGCAACATCCAGGAGCCCAGGTCACAACCAAAACCCCATCGTGCCAGGTGCTGTACATACATAGAGCTAAAAAAGACAGCCTCTGCTCCCAAAAAGACTGCCAAGTAAACTCATCAGACAGTTTCCTTTCACTGCTCAGGTGTCGAGGTCTTGTCCGGCAACAAGAGAGACCAAATATCAACTCTCCAAATCAGGAAAGTGTTTTGCAGCTCATTTATTTGTTTGCTGAGCCAACTCACCCGTTCCTGGTACATGCAGTCACATCCGCAGGGATCTCATGGCACGTCTCATCAGGTTTGCTCGCACAGGTTCCCAAATCCTAAGCCATCCGCGGTGAGACAGCGGTGTGGAATCTGCTTGGCCCTTTCTGCGCCTGGCCTGATTGGGGCCAGCCCAAATCATGTGCCTGAATAACCCTTCAGGAATGGGGCTGCCAAGCTTTGCATTGCAAATCCAGGGGTGGGTCGGGCCCGTCTGGTTCTCCCAACATTGCTTTGGTGGCTGCTGGGTTCCCTCTTTCTGCAAATTTCTTAGGAGGAAAGAGAGGGTCTCACTGAAGGAAGAGAGGGGACTTGGCCACGTAGCCCAGAAACGGGGTTTTGCCTCCAGGAACTAGAGACGTCTAATCACACCGCACCGCTGGCATTTGGGGAGACAGTAAGGGCTGTGCCCCAGAAAAGCAACGCTCAGCTTTGGGTTGCAATTGCACCTGACAAC